GCATCTCTATAAATTCAGACCAAGTTGCAGAGCTTGGAGATATAGCAAAGCAAAGCAATTACATTCAAGCCTCTTAAACAAAAAACCATATTGTCTTAGTTCATTTTTTTACCTCAAGAAGCAATATGTCGAGCAAGTGTGCCGACTGTGACTGCTCTGACAGCAGCAAGTGCACGTAAGTGCTTCTTTATAATTGTCATTTTATATAAGTTGATGCGTAATTCTTGCATTGAAATTAATATACAGTTGAGTTTTACGAATGATTATGGAGCTTATATGCTCAAGTTTGTGTATGGTTAAGTAGTTCATGTAGCTTTAAACAAACACACACCCACCTAGCAAGAAATGATTCAGAGATACAGACCAACCCCCTACCACTTGATATTATCTCCAACTTATAACCACCTACATAGCCCAATAAGTGTAGAGTTTTATCACAAAAGGTCTCGGTGCTAATAATTATAGAACCACTCATTACATATTGTATTTAGTTGTGGACTTTACATTCTTCAACATGCTTTACACTTCTTTGAATTGGTTTAGCTTTTCCAATCAACTTGGTGCATATATACATGCCATCTGAGCATTAACATACCAATTCTCTGAAATTGCAGGAAGAAGGGAAACAGCTACGACTTGGTCATAGTTGAGACTGAGAACCGGTACGTACCTCAATACCCTTTTATAGTAAATTGGGCTTAGACCCATAAAATTCATTTTAAATCACCTACAACCCTTTCTTTTATTTTTCTATTTAAAATACCTAATTTTTTCAAATAATGCATGATGACTAGGATCCAACTAAGCAAGTTACCTAATATAACCTAAAATCTGATTTATTGTATTTTTCGGATTCCAAAACTACCCTTATTTATAAGTTAATGTGTTATAAAGGGATGTAAGCGTAACTAATGACACACGTTGAATTTGGAAAGATCTCCAAATGGTTATAATGGATGCAGGAATTAATTTAGAAACTTATTTAAAATTAAATATTAAATTCAACATTAACGTATTAGTAATCTATAGGTGATTAACGTTTTGGTTTATTTAATAATAAAAATTATGTTGTTTTCCTTTTATGAATTATACGACCAGTAATCTATTTTATTATAGTTTTATGAATAATATTGTACATTCTAATTTTGTTGAAAAATAATTTGATAATCTATTTATTGTTTAGTTTTTGAAAAACATTTTTTTTTAAATGAACCTATTTTTTCTCTAAATAAAGCACCTATTACTTGTTTTATGAAAAATAAAGATCATCTTTTTATTGTTTGTTTTATGAAAACAATTTTTTTTAAATGAACCTATTTTTTAAGACTAAATTATTTTTCTTCTCTTTGTTTCCTTTGACAACTTTAAGGCTAACATGGAGAATTTGATTTGATTTGCAGCTCCATGGACACTGTGATCATGGATTCCCCAGCAGCTGAGAACGATGGAAAGTGCAACTGCAGCCCAAGCTGCTCCTGTGTGGACTGCAAATGTGGTCATTAAGCCCACACTTAATACGTGATTAATAAAAGTGTCGTTTTAATTATGGGATTGTGAAGTCCTTAATAAAGTAATTATGGGAAATAACATTGTGGCTTTGTGTTTGTTATTGTATTTGAGTCTGTTGAGTGACATGGAGTCTCTGTCTCTGCTGTCGCTCATCATGTCTGTGTTCTGTATCTTTCATTGTGTCTTGTAATGTAATTGTAATGGCCATCGTTCGTGGCCTTCGTTATGGTCAATGAAATATTATTAATATACTCTTGTCATCTTTTTTTTTTCTTTTTCTTTTTTAACAAATTGATTTATTAAACTACTTTAATGTACTGGGAGAGGACCAATTACTCGAGTGCAAGAAGAGAGATGCATTATTTTGATCAATTGACTTAACCCACATATCTGCAACCGCAATTTATAAAATAAATGCAGGGAAACAAAAAAAAGCACAATTTTTTCACATAAAATATAATGGAATATGTTCAATATATTCTGGATTTGAAACCCTTCTGTATCTTGGGAGTAGCATCAAAAGAAAGATGATGTCTTGGAATGCTTGAGATTATCTTGTTTGGAAATAAAATTGTACAACAAAACGCAGAACGGGAAATCCCACTTCATTATAAAATATTTCAAGCACGCTGGTCATTCCACTTCAATCCGTACTGGTAATAAATTATCAAGGCATTAGCTTGTCAAGGACTTTATGGATATTTTAATGAAAAATACTTCTATTCTTAGTTCCAACTCACCATATTTTAACAATATTTTAACAAAATGCAACTCGAGTATAAATTAAAATTTATATTTATTGTCACTTGAGTTGGTCATAATTCAACATGGTTAAATTAAAATTAATTTTGTCGAGAGCGAGCAGGTACCACAGTGGTGGCCTCCCCCTTCCTCCTTGCTTGACACCCAAGTTCGAAACCCAAAGGGGTTTCTTTTCTCCCAATATAACAAAAAACCTAAAATTAAATTAACTTAAAATATAGAACTCCAATAGAATTTAACATACACCAATTTTAGCTCTTGTAATAGTGGATTGAGATATATTTAAAACTGAAAATTTTAAAACAACTGGTTACATCACCAGCAGGCTACAGACTCTGAACATTTTCATCTCCTTTAATCAGCTTTGTTCAACTCTGAACCAACAGTAATCAACATAATGACAATTCTAAGTAACCAACACAAGGCAGGTAACAAAAAGGAAAAAAACATATGGAAGAAAACAACCATTAACAAAAAAATATTACACTTAGACAAGACAAAAGCAGATACTGAGATCAATCCTGTAACTTATCAACCAATGTGTACTGCACTTTATAAATTTAAGACTGCAATCTCAAAGAAAAGAAAATACAAGTAAAATTTGATTGCATCTAATGGTAAACAGAAGCTCTCCATGCATTATTTTCGAACTTTCAGATATTATCTTCTCGTATGTTGTAAACATAAAATAAATGTATTCTTTCAAAACTGGTTAATGTTCAATTTATTATCTTAACCATCTCTGGCAATCTCAAACATTGAAGCCCTCTGCACGAAGGCACCTGAGATGAGCATCGATCCATTTTGTGCAAGCCTCTTGACCATGCTCCACAATGCATTCATCGCGCAGCTTCTTAGTATCCGGGCAAGCACAGCAGATCTTCTTCTTCGGCTTTGTATCCAGGCTAGGTGCAGTAGTGACCGCTGATCCTTGATTTGGCTGCGACCCTGGGAAAGCCAAGGCAGACGAAGTATTTTCTGTTGGCATTCCACCCATTTCTCAAAGTCTTTGAAGAATAAATACAGTACCTAATGGAAAGATGATGAAGAACATCAAATTCAACGCAGAGCATAGTCTTCGTGATAACCATGTATTCATTAAGGATGTTGCATGATATGAATATATTGTAACCAAACAGAGAGAATGAAAGAGAGAGATACGGTGTCTTAATATATACACAAAAGAAGCATTAAACTTGTTCATCTAATGATTTGCCTAATCAGTCACTAGCTCAAGTAAAAGAGAGGCAACCACCATAAGGACAAAACCATTTATTTAAGCAAGCAATCAATTTCAGATCTACTAATCCACACCTCTAATAAATACATGAAATCAATTACCATTAAAACTGAGACATTAGGAAACCAAATAAGCAGAAACGACTAGCCCTGCATATCATAAAAACGTTTAACCAATTTCAATTGTAAAGCTATTCAACCAATTTCTAAAGTAATAGCCAGGGGAATATTTACTAGAGCATTTCAGCTTCAAAAAGAAATCTTGTTCTCTCCTTATTTTTTGAAGTCGATACTTTTCCAAACAGGCTCTAATCCACAGAAGGAACACAAAAACAGAGAACCCCAGATGAGGAATTGAAACTAGTTATCGATTTCAATCAAGACATATCCTTTGGCCAACATCCGTTTGGGCTTTTCTTCGAACATATGGTGGGCGTTTGCTTACAAGCCACTCCCACATTTCAAATATTTATTAAAAGCAGAAGAAACTAACAGCACAAAGGCAAAACAGAAAACCCAAAAGAAAAGTAAAGCAACCCCATTTAATCAACCAAGAAAACAGCCATACCCACAAGATTATGGAAGTAAATCTATAATCTGTTGTATTTTTTTGAACAAAAAAAGAATAATAAAACCGTGTTGATAAAGAGGATGATGATAGGAATATGCTCAGAAGGCTAAACGAAAGTAGTCGTAGAAATGTAAGAGAAAGGAAAAGAATAACATACCACTGAAAATAACAAAGAGAAGCTCTCGAACTCAAACGCTCGTGTTTTCTGGAAGACAAAAAGTGCGAGCTCTCAAAAGCTGGAATTGTTAAACAGAGACGGTTATGTTCTCTGGAATACGAAACTGGCCGCTCAAATTTTCAAGGCTAAAACTGGGCCGCGTAGGAGTCAATGGGCCTAGAAAAGAATACGCTAACAATTTGAATTTTTTCTTTTTAGGAGAGAGAAGAATAATAAACATTTGGGTGATTTGGACGCTTAACCCCAACTTTTTGTCTAAAATTTTCTTGCAAACGTGAGTTAGGCCAGTTGATCCGAATAGTGGGTGCTTGTATCAACAAGAATATTTAATTTTTATAATTACAATGACAAAATGGATAGCACTTTTTACTATCCCTTTCAATAACGCAATGACACATGAGATAACTTTTTTATATGTCGTTTTGTTATTAGTTGGAGATAACATTATTTTGCTATTTCCGTTACAAGTAAGTTTTTCTGCCCATTAAGAGTTACTAATAAGTTCGACTGACTCGCTGCCCTGTAACTCTTAGGCCATGGGCTCTGTAGACTGTAATTTGGACAAACTTAACATCTTTAAGAAATTATAGGCTTAACTATTTATGTTTAAAACTACCAAGGTCAAACAATCTAAAGAATGAAAAGTCTAACCCTGCAAGTACTTTGTTCTAGTAAATGGTAGTTTGGAAGAAAATCAAAATCCCTTGACAGACAGGACCAGCAAGAAAGTATTTTACCGTAAAAACGCATGTCAATATTGACAACAAACAGAACAAATTAGGGTAACTTTAACCAACTACAAAACAACCACCAGCAAAATGTGAAGATTATATTTGCCGTAAGATACAAATTCATGCTTCAAAACAATGAGTTTAATGTTCAGAATGTGAGCCATAAAAAATTAATCAAGTGGAAATTAGCTAAATACATTTGCCAAATTTTTATTCATCATATGATGGGAAAAAATTTACAAGCTCACCGGTAACATGGGGCCAACAGAATGTGCAAAATTGCAAATGGAAAACAGTTTGTAGAGAATGTTCAAGATTAACAAGGTTTAAGCACTAAACTAACCAGCAATGAAATCTTAAATCTGTTTTTTTTTTTTTTAACTCTGCAATCTTATGGCACAAAGCAAGAGCCTCCACCTTGCAATTTCCACATAACATGACCAAGAAGCAGAGGAACCAAAGCACACAATTCCATCCAACAATGTGTTCCTCCATAAGCAGCAATCCACTGATTTTTGTAGCAAAGTAACATCAATTCTTTGCTAATCATACTTCTCCCTCCATGAGTACACAAGAAGAAAACACCACGAAAGCGCCAGTGTGATGTCTCCGGCGACCTGCTTTGGCCAATCCCGGGCAAGATCTTCAAGTTTCCTCTCAAAGTAAACTCTCCAAATAGCCATGGAAATGTGAAGCAACACACAACCTTTAGCAAAGAAGCTCTGGAACTTGTTGTCCTTGACAAAAGCCACCATGAACAAAAGGGATCCAATGGAAAATAGAAGCAAGCCGGATAAGGAATCGGCGGTTTGAATTAAAAGCTGATCATGGGGTGTTGACCCTTGGAGCTTACTTGCTGTCTCAAGGCCATGGCTGAACACATAAAATTCATAGGAGTAAAACATCATCAAAGCTCCAGAAATCAGAGCAATAACAGAGTGGAGCATACAAATTAGAAAAAACCCAGACAACCCCATTACTTAAAACCCCAGGCAAAACCTTTATCTTTCTTCTCTATACAAATAAACTTGCATTCAATTCAATTCTATTCAACCAAAACTGCTCAACAGAAATCTCTTGAACCCTGATTTCCAATAATCTTATGACAGAAAGCATACAAAACCAGTTTCCAATAACCTCTTAATGTATGTTACAACACAGAAAAGATGAAAATCACATATTCATCAAAAACCCTAAACCCTAAACTTTCATTTCAGAGATCCCAGAAACCAGAGCAAGTAAATTGACCAGAAGCTAACCTTAGCTTAGCTTCCACTCTAAAACTCAATAAACCCAGATGGCAACACTGATCAAGATTCAAGATTGTCTCCACAAGAAAACCCTTAAAACCAAGAATCAAACCTCAAACAAGGAAACCCAAATAAACCCTAACCTTAGTTTTCATTGTTTTCCACATCAAACAAAACCTTGGGGCTCTGAAAGGAAATGAAACTGATGGAGGGGTTTTTGGTAAAGGGAGAGGAAGAAAGAATGCATCTTTGGGAATTTGCTTTGATGAGAGAGTAATTCCAGCAACTACAACACGCTTATTGTCAGTGGAGGGACTTTTCTATTTGTGTGAATTTGATTTGATTAGCTGTAGTTTGTAGATATTTAAAGATTCTATAAATGGCAGAGACTAAAGAGATTGCTTCTGTCCCTCTACAAAAACTTACACCTCATGCAAGAAAAATGCCTTACTTTTCTGGTTACTTCCTTCCTACAAGCAATTGAACATTTGTGGGGTCATGGAACCAATGGGTCGACATGATTTTTTTTTTAGTTTATTTTAAATAAAAAAATGTTGTTTTTGGAATTATGTTGGGCCACCATTTGTTTGCTATCTATCAACCAAGTTTGAAGTAATCAGACCCATAAAAAAACAGTTTGAAGCAAAGTCATTACAATTAATCATTGGTGCTGAATTTGATCAACTTATCGACTTCTTTGGTAGCTAGAGAAAGTATTAAAATGAAAATCCCTGTATCTTTAACAATTTTCCTAAAGAAAAGTGCTTTCATGTCTGGAATTGATGTTGAGCGCCTGCCATGATTCATTCTTTCATGGTTCACTACTTTTTGGGTAGATGGGAGGGTTCTTAAAATCCCTATCATATTGCGGACGTGAATTAGACCAGAATAATGAGTCTGTCCCTTTGTACTAAAGTTCAAAACTCATTTTTCATATATTAGATTAATTTAGAGTAAATTATTGCTTGTATAACAAATCTCTACTATATTGAAAAAGTAAGTGTACCAAAACTCTCCCCTTTTTTTTTTTCTTTTTTTTTTCTTTTTTTTTTCCAACCCTAAAGGGTTGAAATTTTCATACATTGAGAAAATGAACGTTGCATCCATGTTAATTTCTTCAAATTCAGTCAGAGCAGAATCTAGTAAAAGCCTAAAAGGGAAGGATTTCAACTCCAAGTTAGAACACTTTCAAGCCAACACCTTCTTTTCACTTAGAATTTAGAAAACCCACCTCACACTGTTAGTTGGTACTGACAGAATCTTCTGCAGCTGCATATAAATACATAAATTTGATCAAGTAAGTTTATTGATTAAAAATGTCAAATGTTTTGAGATGGATGGCTGTAAAGCAATACAGCTATTACTTTGTTCTCGACACCAACCCAATGATCACAACTTTGCTATATCTTATACATTGAGATTTACATAGAAGAACAAGTCATTATGAGACCTCACTTGCAGGCTACAGCTGTGGAAATGGCTATTCTTTTATTGAAGGCTTTTTGTTACAAAGAGGCCAAACCCTAAATCTTTGGACATTGGCCTATGTTGTGCTTTGATCAACCCCTCAAATTGCTCAGGGAACATGGCACACTTGCCAAGACACCGCCAACTAATGGCCAGTATGGGATCACATGGAGATGAAGAGGCCTACCATCCATCCTACATGATTGCAGCTCTGTATTGACCAAAGCCCTAATCAAATCAAAGCATCAATTCTTGCAAAAGCAAGCCTCCTCCTCTCGAAAAACTTGTGTGAAATAAGGATAACACTCTTTTGCTATCACCAACCAATCACAAACTGCCACATGGAAAAGTGATCACATGTTGCATGCCATAATTGGTCGGGAATAGCAAACTAGTGCTATCCTCGTTTCACACAAGTTCCAACCTTCCAAGTGCATGTGCTTCCATAGCTAAAAGCTCTTTTCTTTTCTTTTCTTTTCTTTTTTTTCTGCAGAATTGTGAATATCTATTGCTTCCCTGGTATGTTTTATCTTTCCCAGCATCAGGGTTGCCTTTCCCATTAAGGCCTCAAACTGCAGAATTGGATCATCTTTCTATTTCTTCGCTTTCTTTGTTTTGAATTTAAGTTGTGAACAAATTTTTGAAAAGTGGGATTATTGCAAATTACAATATACTATTGGTTATTTTGAGAAACGGATTCTGGATTGGGACATCAAACAATACTTATGTCACTGATTTGTAAAGCAAGCATGAGGAACATGGCAGAAATTTGCACGACAGCAGACTGGATAAAAGTGCTCGTAAAAAACAATCGAATAGATATCAACAATTCTCAAACAAAATTTTGCGCTTCATCTGTCGTTTCCTATCCTGCACAGATCTAACCAAATCTTCCTACCCCGTGATGTATAATTTGTGACAAAGGGGGAGGGAGATTACATTTTCCTATAGTCAAAAAAGTTATTAAGGGGAAAAAAGAACAATTAGAATGACTTGCTGTCTCTACTACCACCAACCTTACGATGGCGCTTCTTATCTCCTCTTCCACGCTTTAGAGAAATCTTCTTCCCAGTTGGAGTCTTCACAGATTTGGTACTCTGAGGCAAAGGTAGCGGAAGACGAATAATAGTCCTAGGCGGACGCGGAGGAGGCATGTGCTCCAGTAACTCTCGGTGGTATGCCTGTACATTGCAATCACAATGAACATATAATAACATGTAAACCTAATGTATTGAAAGGAAGAAATTGAAAGAGAAACAAAAGGACCTCATAACTTAGTCCGGCATATTATGCTATGAAGCCAAAAAGAACAGTTTACACAGCATAAGATTGTTATTTGGCAAATGAGCCATTATCCAAGTAATTCCCAGCCTCTCAAAAGAGCACTGTTAACATACAGAGATCTTGAATTTATACGTCAACAATGCATCTAAATCTAGACAACAACCAAATAAATCATGCATCAAAATCTCCATGACTGCAAAATACAGATGCAAGCTTCTGTGGTACCCAAAAAAAGACCTAGTGACTCAGACAATGCAGAGCAAGCCACTTATAATTAGTAGATCTGGTCAACGTGTCAACAGAACCCTGTGACTCATACAACAACCTGACAAGCCCTAACAATATTCCAAAAAACAAACAAAGCATTTCGAATAAAATACACTGAATAATTTTCCAATCACCGTAGATATTCCTAAAAGAAATTAATACCTGAATTACAAAATTGCGCCTCTCACAATCCAAAAACATATTAATGCTCCAATTAACTTTTCCCATGATTTTATCCCTCACTGTGGAGAAGCTTAATTGATCCCTGGAGGTAAAGCGATCAACTTCATTGAACCAATTGCAGGTAAACAAATTTGTGATGGGAATGTGCTCCTTTATGATAACACAACCTTCAGGAACATCTGAAGAAAGTCATAGAGCAAAATGCTAAATTCCAGATTAAATAAGGAGAAGAAAAAAAAAAGCTATAACATGCAGAAATACATACGCTGTCATATGTATGCATAAGCTTACATATCACTGCACGTAAATAAATGACCTACCACTTGTTATTGGAAATTTAGCCACTGAATAAGGTTGTAAACCCTCCTTAATATAGAAGTCAATCTGCTCATTAATGGTGGAGTTATCATACTTTCCAGCAGCTTTGTTAGCTTCAGCCTCTTCAAACACATCATACCGTCTATAGTGCCTTGAGATTGCAAAATTCGCATTCTGACGCCATAAGAACCTGAACAGTATTTAAGTATTGAAAACATCAAGGTTTATGTAAAGCTCAAAATCAATAATTGCACAACACAATGACTGATTGCCAATTTCACAGGTAGGGTAGATATGTCAAACTTTTTCCCCAAAAATGTTAATATTGTCAATTATTTTGGAACTGTTTAGAAAAATATTTCAGGTAAAACTGATTAAAGATCCTCCTGTTATAAAAATATTATTTTTCGAACCCTCTACTTCAGCTATATTTCCTTTTAATTTTTAATTCAACGATATTTTAAAATCTACCATTCTTTTCACACAAGTATATCAGAGAGTCTACTTTGGCATACTTTGAACTACAAGATCAGAAAATAGAACAAGAGAAACCCCAGTGCCAAAAACTGACAACAAAGACCATTTGACAGAACTTCACAATAGAGTGCAGGGTTGGGGGAGGATCTACTACAACACACAATAAATATACCAACAAAGCAACCAATAATTTCTGGCACCTGACAATTTCAATATCCAAAAAATAAATAAAAAGAAAGTGGAAAAGTTGGATAACAGCTCGGCTTTCACTGGAAGAATCCAGTGACCAGTCATGGCTTTGTGATACAACCATAGTTCTGCACAAATCTAACCAAAGTTTTTTTTTCCTAATACTGAAAATTATAAACAAAATTGTACTGAGGTAATTCATCATACAACTTCCAAGAGTAGCATTAAATTTGCATGTTGCAGGAAGTTGATTATCATCTGTAAAGCCAATTAGAGTTTCAAACAAGTGGTGAACAATATGAGGTTGTTTATAGAACCTTCAATATTTAAATAGTTGCAACGTACCAAGTAACATGACAGGACCAAAATTAACAGCATCAACTGTTTCAGGAAAGAACCATCTTTTAAACCCTTAGGCAAAAACTCCGGAACTAGGCTATTACAGGCGTCCACATACCATTAATGAACAGAATCAGAAAAGAAGTGTACCTCTCAAGGATTTGATACGGATCCACCACAAGCTGAAGCTTTCCATCAATCCACAAAGAATATCTGACATTGGGGAAAAGCCTATGCAATAGAAGCTTCGGAACCTGCCACAAAAACATGATGTGTCAATAACATCTAAAATCTTCCCAAAAAATCCCTCCTAATCCAGAACTTTTTGTGCAAATTGTGGATAGAACACCTTTATTTCTATTAAATTAAATCAAAAGTACCACCTGATATAATAGATGACATTAACTTTCCCTAAAATCCATACCACTGCATAAAGGGAACACCAAGGTTAGGAGTGTCAATTTGACTAAGATACACCAAACTCCAGTTGCAAAGCCCAATATTTACAGGTTAAGGTTCAACACAACTTGCCAAGCAGCAATTGGAACAGAACCTAAACTGGAAGTTGAATTTGAACCGATCATTGCAGCCAGATCTATCCAAAATATTTTTTTCCTTGAATAAATGTCTAAAAGAATTTCCCCCAAATAGTATATGAACATGACATGAAGTATGGTTACACATGACCAAGCAAGTTCCCTCAACATTGGCTTAGGTGGTAAATTGGCTGGGGCAGCTTGGTGTGGGTCTTATGCTCAAATTATACCAATCGACAATTGTATATTCTGTGTGTTTCTTCACACCAATCTCCCATCTCTAAATGCAGTTGGGAAGAAACTAAACATTTAAAAGCACCAGTAAATCCTTGAAACCAAAAATAAATAAATAATAAATAA